CTGAGTGGAAATCTTCATACCATGTCCGCGCCGTGTGTTTGCTGGGTCAAAGGTGAATAAGCTGTTTGCCATGCTGTGTTCAAGCAGCGCATCAGTAAGAATGGGGTCCCATCGGAAGCGACGATACTCCAGGGGAAAAAGAGATCAGACATTGCTAGACGCGTTTCGTAGTCCGCGGATTTGGGGCCGGCAAACATTCTCGTGGCGGCCCGCTGGATACGCTCAACGAGGGTGACATCTTTCGTACGTCCTGAGTAGACAACTTGGTTGGCGTACTCCAGGAGCGGTCTGACGTAGGCCACATAGAGTATTTGAAAGTTCATGCGAGTAATACGGCAGAAGGCGCGCCGGATCATCCGTAAAATGGCGAATGCATTGTGGGCCGATTTCTCATAATGCAGTGAGAAGGACAAGTTTGAGGAGACTCAGATGCGCAAATCCTTTTTGGCACCTATCCTCATGATGTTTTCTGGTCCTTTCTCAACGTGCATAACGAAGGCATTCGCTGAGTCTCCTCCAAACGACACATGGACGCACTTTTCATCATTCAGAGGAAGGCGCCAGTCCAATGACCACGGCTTGGCAGCGTCTACATCTATTCGTAGGGCACTGGCATTGGAACTCCAAGATTTCAAGTCGTCCGAAAAAAGTAGACGTGGACTTGCAAGGACATCTGGAAGATCGTTGACGTAGATCAGAAACAGCACTGGTCCCAATACGGAGCCTTGAGGAACTCCAATGGAGACCGGCGCTGGAGAAGAGTAGGTCAGGCCTTTTCTCACTCGAAATGATCTGTCTGATAGGAACGCCTTGATCCAATGAAGGAAGGTTCCAGCCTAATAAGCTAGCGGCCATGTGTTGGGTTCGCCAACATACGATATTACAACACAAGGGATCTAGTAAAAGCCGATATAAGCGCGAGAAGCGTGGTGTGTGAATCAGATGCATAAGGGCTGACGTGAGTGGACTCCTAAGATGACAGGTTAATCTGGTGTTAATTACATGAGTTGGGCAGTACCAGGAGAGAAAGTGTGTTCAAGAGAAATAGTCACCAGTCCCCGAAGCGCTGCTATCAGCTCTAATCTGTAGGTGGTCCATAGCGATGAAGACCTCCGTGTCTACTACTGGGAGCGGCGAGTAGATGTATTCTCTGTTTGGATGACGAAATGGGCTTCATGCGTTGTGGCCTCGCCGATGTAGGCCATGGGAAATGCGGAGTATCTTCGGGCTATTTCAAGTGAACTTTTATTTTTTATTGTGAGGCCAGTTTTTTTATCTGTGGTTTATGGTATCTTCGGGCTCAAGTGAACTTTTATTTTTTATTGTGAGGCCAGTTTTTTTATCTGTGGTTTATGGCATTGCCAGATGCATAACTCAACCAACCGGAGCCAAACACCAGCAGCAACAAACGGAAGTCAGCAGTACTTTCTTTGATTTCCTGAATTTAAAGGCCAGACTCAGAACCATCGGTGATGGGCGATGCACCCGTGCTACTGGAGAGGTGGCGGGTATACGACTCCCCAATGGTGCGATTTAACAGGGCGACCCTCCCTGTAGGGCGTACCCGTCCACCACACTAGGTTTTCATCTCTCGTGCATGCTACCAGATCTGAAAGGTGGGAAACCGTCCAAGCAGTCATAAGTGCGGATTTTAGCATAAATAAATAACTCCAGCTACCAGATATTTTATCCGGTCGGGGGGAAAGCCAGGTCGGTAAAACAGCTCAGTCATTTCGAACAAGCGAACAGCAAACAGCCACTGGAAGAGGCAAGTCGCGGAAGCAAATGAAACATCAACTACCCTCTGAGCAATGGGAGTAGAATGGGGATGTTTAGAGCCTGTGTACTACGGCTAAATGAAAACGAAGCATTGGTGTGAACCACTCTGTCAAGTAGTGGTGCACCAGTGCTATGTGTATGTCTGGATGGTTGGGCGGTGGGGCCAAACGAGTATTTCATTCGCAGCGCATCTTCAGGCCCACCATTTGATATGTGTGCGCTGCGCGTATTCAGGGGATGCGGAATGGTTCGGAACAGCGTGAGGCTTTAGTTTGGCTGAGGTTATTCAAATCCTGCCAAAGCAAAGCACCAGACATTAAATAGAGCTGACAGAGTTACTCAGGGATGGGACCAGGCTTGAAAAACTAGGAATAATTGGGCTGATAACAAAAGCTTAAGGTCGGAGGAGGGATATGTAACCAGGTCAGTGGAGACGGGCCTGAGGGAGATAGAGTGACAGGTTATAGATAAGAGCACTTGGGAGGGTGGTTGTCGCACCTGCGGACTAATGCTAAGGGTTTCAGGCTGGTAAGTGTAAGTTCTAGGACCTAATAACAGGACAGTCAGGGTGAGTGCGCAAATTAGAAGGGCCTAGGGTTTATTTCAAAAGAAGTATCCAGTGTAAGCTGAGGCGCGAAAAGGTGTTCAGCTCCCTCAATAGAAAGGTAAGAATCGATGGCCCTTCGAAAGCCAACGTGAGATGAGATAGTACGGATATGGGAGGGAAGCTTGTTGCATAGTTTAGAATAAGGGCCGGGTTTGGGTCCAAGGCTCCCTAGGGGCCTCTGGGGCGATGTCGTTTGCTTCCTGTCTTCGTGGTTCTTGAGGGTGCTTTTCGCTTGCGGGGTCTTTTTCGTCCCGTAGGAGCCCAGTTTGCTCGGGCCTTTTGGCTTTAGGAGACGTGGTTTTTACCTTGTGGGTGAAACTTTCGACCGTTGATTTTTGTAGCTCTTTCAACCCCCCTTTTCGGCAAGTAGATTTCCTGGTGATCAAATATTTGCGGCAAACTTTCGCCTTCCTGGATTCTTGGGTGTTTTTATGTGCGGTTCGACCGGTAACCTTTTAGTTTTGGGGGAGGGAGTTTTTTCCCTGTGGGCGAAAATTTCGTCCCTTGCCGCTTGTAGCTCATTCAGCACCGCCTTTTTGGAGACCAGGTTTGCTGTTGATCAAAGAGTTGCCGCAAACTTTCGCCTTCCTGGATTCTTGGGTGTTTTGGCGCGGTTTGACCGGAAAAGTGTCACCGTGAGGCCCTGAGCGCTTGGTGGCGGCACCAAGAATTACTGCTCTTGGCGGCCAAACCCCCTCTCTAACCGCTCCCGCTGTCAAGTCCTAGGCCTCGAATCATTATGGCTCAGAAGGTTAAAATACCATTAGCTCCCTTACACCGCCTGCTGCATAAGAATGTCTTTATAGCAGAGGCTAAACCAAATATAAGCTCACAACCCCGCTACAGACTCAGCAGCTTCTGCAACCTCCTACTACCTACCACAGCTCGTAAAACTTACGCCACTACCTTTTTCTAGTTTATTACGCTCGCATCTGGAACAGCCTTCCTGAGCACTTGCGAAGCATAACGCATCACCATACCTTTTTCTCAGTCTGTAGACAAATTTCTTCCCTGTGAAACTGCTGCCGCCTCACTTAATGCTAGACTACCCTCTGACCTACTCTATGAATCAGGTCAGTGCGTATTTAAGTTTAGCGACGTTACAGTTAGTGGGCAAGAAATGGATCCTGTTATCATTTCTTCCTACTCACTTGACCCGCTTTAGGCTAATAAAGGACTTAAATGCCTACTTGATCTAAATACGCAGCGTTACTGGCCTGGTTGTTTTCTTTCTCCTTTTACCCGGCCAACTTACGCTTCCTACCAGTCTAGTCCTTACACCGGATTACTCTATGAATTCTGTCTAGCGACGATTGCTCTCGGCCAAACTCTACTGAAGAAAACCAAACCAAAGTCGATTGTTTTCTTCATTATATTATCAGAGCGCATTCTGCGCTTATATATATCTATTTGATGATTTGTCCCACTAAACACTCCCACACACAACATCGCGGAATGTTTCTGCTCGACATGGTAGCCCACACCATCTCTCTGACGCCGTCGATCCATGGTGCAATCGCCGTGAGTATCAACATTCCAGTCCCATCGTCTCATTGACAGCTGTCATTTCACCGCCACTCCGCGACTTGCTTCTACCGGCGTCTGTATGCCGCTGCTGGTTCGGATTGACTGAGCTGTCTTTACCGACCAGAAACAATGGTTGCTGGAGTATTTAATAATGCACAAACCGCACTTATGACTGCTTGAATGGTTTTCCACCTTGCAGATCTGCTAGCATGCACGAGGGAAGAAAACATCATGTGCTGGACGGATGCGCCCTGCAGGGAGGTCACCCTGTTACGTTTTTACTATGGTGTTTTCGTATACCCGCCACCCCTCCAGTAGCACGGGTGCATCGCCCACCGCCGGTGGTTTTGAGTCAGGCGTTTAAATTCAGGAAATCAAAAAAGTACTGTTGACTTCTGTTTGTTGCCGCTGGTGTTGGGCTGGCCTCGGTTGAGTTATGCATCTGGCAATGCCATAAACCACAGATAAAAAAACTGGCCTCACAATAAAAAATAAAAGTTCACTTGAAATAGCCCGAAGATACTCCGCATTTCCCATGGCCTACATCGGCGAGGCCACAACGCATGAAGCCCATTTCGTCATCCAAACAGAGAATACATCTACTCGCCGCTCCCAGTAGTAGACACGGAGGTCTTCATCGCTATGGACCACCTACAGATTAGAGCTGATAGCAGCGCTTCGGGGACTGGTGACTATTTCTCTTGAACACACTTTCTTTCCTGGTACTATCTAACCCATGTGGTAAATACCAGGTTTATCAGTTATCTCGGAAGTCCACTCCCGTCAGCTCCTTTATGTCTGTTTTCACACCACCACTCTGTGCGCTTATATCGGTTTTAGCCAGGTCCCTTGTAATTTAACATCGTATATTGGCAACCTCCCTGGTCGCTAGTCTTTTAAGCACAAATCCATCTATATCCTAATCCATATAATCACTTGTCACCACCATAATCGCGGCAGACTTCAAGTTATTCTTTCTATGCATATTAATGCACATTATCCTATTTGGTGTTTCCTTAAGCTCAACATGCTTTACTAATCTCACCCCTCCTCACCCCTCCATCTTCCCAAGCTTTGAACTTCGGTGATGTCCGCTTCGGACGACCTGGTTAGCTGTTATCCACTGTAACTGGCCTATGATCTACAACATCAAGATCCATAAATGAACCAAGAAAATCTGTGACCCCATATCGGCTGTGATCCACCGTGTTTCCTCGATCAGGCTGAAATTAATCCTGCTGCCCAAAGAACTGTACACCCCAGCCCAATAACCATAAATGTGACGTTCGTAACGGGGCTGTCCAAAAATCGACGTATGTCAGGCCAAATTTGGCATGACACTGTCATTCTCAATTCGATAGCACACCCGCAACTATTCCATTCCCTCTCTCGACTGTGTCCTCTCACCCACTCCTTCCATTAAATGCATAAAACTGCAAGATAGAAAACCGTTTTTGAGACAAGTTCTTTCGTACCCGATAACTTTTCGCTCAAATCTGACCGGAATGTCTGATCTCTTTTTCCCCTGGAGTATCGTCGCTTCCGATGGGACCCCATTCTTACTGATGCGCTGCTTGAACACAGCATGGCAAACAGCTTATTCACCTTTGACCCAGCAAACACACGGCGCGGACATGGTATGAAGATTTCCACTCGGAATGCACAAGTGCGAATGTGCATTCACTAAACAAATTTTTTCTCATTTCGGGCAGAAGTTGCGTGGAATAACCTTCCTCTGACGGTTGTCCACACTCCTTTTAAAATCCAGTTCCAAGGACCATTAGACACTTAATTGTGCGAGTCCTCGCGCTGGCAAGCCTGCTGCCTCGCGCTGAGATCATAATGAGCAATGATACACCCTTTTCTCACTTATGCCTTTCATGTGAACGACAGCCGCTGAACGACAAGAACAAAACCAACCCGGGAAACTTGGGCCAAATCCTCGATCCTATGTATCAATCCGTGGATCATCATCCCCAATCATGCTTTTCGTGACCCTGATCATAAGCCCAACGGCCTGAACCCCAAAAGTGCCTCATTGGTGATTTTACACTTTAGTTCAAATTGACCAGCCAGATCGTGGCATCCTGCTGCCGTACCAGATGTTGTTTTGGCTTCTCATTTTTCGCCAGCTGAAGTTTTCTTATCATATACTAGGCACTTCGCCCTCATTCGTTTCGTTTTTTTTGCCCGCCATCTTCAAATCCTAAAGGTCTGACCCTGCCCCAGTTTGATAAGTTCCTCCGAAAGCGAAATAAAATCCTCGTAATTGTATTTCCTTCCCCGTGCGGTTTTAAACGTGACCAAGTCCGCATCCGATATTCCCACTGTTTATGACACTGTCCCTCTCCCGCGCGATCCCTAATACCCGCAAAGACTTGCTTTATTCTGATCAATCGTGTGGTCGCACCTGTCGGTATGCCACCCGCTAGTTAAGAATAAACATTATCATTATGACATTGAGCTTATTCGTCATGAACCGTTTTATCCATGGAACCCTCCGTGCTCCATACTAAAGTCAATGAACTTTGGTATTCCACAAATCCAGCTACCCCTAGGAGGTCGAGTCATGGGTTAGAGGACATTCATTATGCATGACCCTTACGGAGCGCACCACGGCTTCCGTCATTCCGTACCAGATCATTTGCATTTCTTACTCTGTGTTTGGTTCTCTTATCACCACCCCGTTGATAAAGCGGACGCCGACACTACTGACCAAACTACCACCCCATGAATCAATTTAAAACCGATGAAGCAAATCATCGACAGAACTTTTTTGAAGTCTTTTGAACTCTACTTGACCCGGTTTTGTCCTATCCGGTGCCTGTCTACCTAACCTGATTCTGTTTCAGTCCCGCGTGAACAGCACGGCTGAACCAAGTGAAGATACCCGTAGCATCTTCCCTGAATTTCCGAAGGTCTCTAACATGATTCAGCGCAAGATTATGGCTAGGGAATATTTTGGACCGTCGGCCTTATCTCTTACTGGTTTTGGGCGTTCTCTATCAACCGGAAACCTTAGGGCTGAGCCAATGGTTTCTTTGTTTATTTTTCGGAGCCTTAAGCACTACGCGTGCTTACTAGGACGTCGGAATCCACGCAGATCTCCTGGGACCCCGATCCCACGAGTCACACCCCCAATTGAAACAGCCATCACCCAAGTCCATCTTGCATGCTCAAATTGATCTGGGTGTCACTATTGTTTCTCCACTTTTGGAACATCTCAGCAAAGTTCCGTAGCTCTAACTCAAAGCCGCTGAAGCACTCCTCGAAAACGTTCAGTGGTGACGACTTGTCTACCCAAACAGCAACATATATTTCCATGCAATATTCATATTTACCGTGCCCAGCAGAACAACCGTTGACAGAATTATTCATTCCCACACACAACACCGACCTCTGCCAAAGTTTGCTTCTTCATAGTAGATTAAACTCCCCGTATTTCGCTACCACGCCACCCTAAGATTAGCTTGCAGAAGACCCATTGGGAAATTGACTTATCTTCAGAGATAACAAGACATCGCATAGATTGCTTTTACGGTATACTCAAAGGCCTAGAGTGTTCGTACAATTCCATGCGGCTATTTACAATACAGTGCGTTGGTCCAAGTTGGTCGAAGAAATCGAGATCAAGTCCCTTCTCGCGGGGCATCGCTGAGTGCCGAGCCGATCCCAAGCCGTTCGAGTTCTTCTATCAGCTTACCCGATTTGTGCATGTCCAAAAGGATATCACATCCACCAACAAATTCACCATCGAAATAGACTTGAGGGAATGTGGGCCAGTCAGAATACGTTTTTGCCGCGGACCGCAATTCTTCGTTTTCTAACACATCGTAGGACGCAAACAAATCCGGCTGTTTCGCTATTCTGGCCTTGTCCAAAACACCGTGCATCTCGAGGATGCGACAGACTGCATTGCTAAAACCGCAACGAGGCTCATCTGGATTGCCCTTCATGAAAAGCACGACACGATGGGTTTGAACTAAATCTCCAACTGCTTTCACAGCTTCCGACTGTGGTGTAGAGGCATATGTGCGGAGAATGAGAGCACGGTTTGTCGAATATAAAGCACCCGACGACAAAAATTGATGGCGATTGATGGAAGATGCATCCTTCATTAGGCTGGAGAGATTCCGCTGCGGAAAGACGAAGAAGAGGAAAGTGAACCACAAAGTTTGCGATGCTGCAGAAAGACGAAGAGGAAAGTGAACCACAAAGTTTGCGAAAAACACGTACAGTGACACACGAGCAATCCTGTGTACAAAGAAGGGGATGAGTCCAATCTGAAAACCAGGGTGAGAAAAAGAGTGATACTGCCGCGCTTGGGACGACTCTTTGCTTCACATCAATCTGGTAGAATAAAGCAAAGGTCTAACAACTAATCGGGCTTTATCAAGGGGATTCTTGAAGTTCTGTAACCAGTATAGGAGCACCGTCTCCGCGGCTCTCAAAAACCCAAAGGTCTGTCATGGTCATGGGAAGCTGCCTTAACAATATGTTTCGCTGCATGGCATCCCTTTTACTGACTGTTTTCGGCTCGGTCGGCCACCGCGAAGAAATTGATTTAGAGCTTTCTCGTGGCACTATCTAGTGCAGATCGTTCTGCACACCAATAGTTGCATTGTTCATTCCTTGAACTGAAGAAATAACAGAATTTCTATAACCAACGGGTAAGCGACGTGTCAAAACACCCTTTGTGGCCTCCAGCCCACCAAAGCGACCGTTTCAGACCGGTCCGGGTTCAGTTCACATGATATGAGCAGACCGTGATTCCCTTTTGGAGAAGGCATCCATGGGTCCACATCTAAATCCTTTTCAAGCGAATTTGGGCTGCTCGGCCGAAAAAACACTCATCTTGAGTTCTTCACTTCACTACCGGGTGAATTCCAAACTTTGTCAGCCTCGCCTAATGGCTACGGGCGGCGAGATGGCCCAACTGGTTAGAGCGCGAATTTACTGACCAGAAGGTCCGTGGTTCGAACCCGACCTCTGCCTCTCGAATTCCCCTGTCTAGACTTAGGCAACTTGGTAGTATCCCAGCCCTCGTGCAACCTTCAGGTGGCATGGTAGTTAGGCACCGAAAAGGTGCAACAGCTGAACGATTTTTTCAATGGTTACGCCGGGTTAGTTTCGCCCAAAGTGATCAAGTACAACGACTTCAGATTGCATTGTAGTAGGCACCGAAAAGGTGCAACAGCTGAACGATTTTTTCAATGGTTACGCCGGGTTAGTTTCGCCCAAAGTGATCAAGTACAACGACTTCAGATTTCTGAATGAAATCGTCCGCTGTTGCTATGGTGATGCCCCGGTTAATTCTGCCCAGCCATCTTTACCCATCAGCCTTTTCAGATCCCTTACTGTCCAATGCCGACTGAAATGGTGAACTTTCTGCCATCACATTACGCGCAAGCCACCGAAATAATATTCTTATTCAATACTCCACTGATCAGTCACTGAAAAGGAACAATAACGACAGGTGCACAATCGTCGCTCGCAGCCGTCTTACGTTAAAGCGAAGTTGGTCACGAACATTACGCGCCACCGAAATAATATTCTTATTCAATACTCCACTGATCAGTCACTGAAAAGGAACAATAACGACAGGTGCACAATCGTCGCTCGCAGCCGTCTTACGTTAAAGCGAAGTTGGTCACGAAACTACCGACCTTTTCTGAAAAAAGGACATCATCACCAGCGTAACTCAGGTTTGAGTGGAGATCACCATCGATTGCCAATGGTCTGATCCAGCACACTAGACTGATTGAGGAAGGTCTATGCTATCCATTCAATGTGATAGTAATGAGTGAGATCCAAGGCGGGCGGTGGAGTCGTTTTCAGGTCAATCGACACGAATGACAAAGAAGACAAGTGCTGAACAAGTGTTCGTTTATTGTATTCATGAACCCCAGCGATACCCACGGGGGTTGAGACAATGGCCAAAATGTCATCTTCCAAATTGTTTCGTGCAGTAACAAGGTACTAAAAGAAAGTCCTAAAAACATGCTAGGATGGCCGCAACCAACTACTATACAAAATCCGGAAACCCGCAGTTTTGCGGAGCACGGCACATGGATGGTTCCGTGACAGAATCGGTGGATATCAAGGAATACGGAAACAATGATAATAAGTAAGAACCTAGTGGCTACAAGGTTGTGAGGGAATGCGCATAGCCTTGGAACTCTACGTCGAGTTCCACACACATCTGTTCGGTGAACGCACGGCCAGGCAAACTGACAGACTACTTAAACCTCAGCATACGACTTACCAGGGCGAAGCGGATCAAAAACATTAGGGGAAGAAGGATGGATGGAATTCGAGGAATACACTGGAAAACTGAGGCGAAGTTACCTGGCGAAACCAATAAACACAAGTTGAAAAGAACAACTTCAGCTGCTCAGGACATTTGCTGGTGAGGCTGCATTCGGGGAAAATTTTGATCGAGGGCAATATGTAGCTTCGTCAGCTCTGGGCGAACGGCTATTAACTCACTAAATGCTCTAACAGAATCGTCAGTTTTCGAACTGCAGCCTCACAGAGATGACTAATTTATGGGAAAATCGTGGATGATACAATTGTACTAAAATGGATAAGTACTGACCGCAGAAAGCTCAGTGACCGGACAACTCACCGTTGGCGGATTGTGACGTGGTACAGTTCCGTATTTCACCAAATGACTAGCATTGGGAGACAGCAGAAAACGACGCGCAACTCGAGAACAATGCATGTTCCAGATGCTGTAAATAAAACAGTTAGAAGAGTTGAGAATGTGTGGATGCGGAGTATGCGCAAAAAAGACCAACCTGCTTGTTTGGAGCATCCACTTGATTTCAAAACAATGCGATATCAATTCTCGATTGACATCACTTGTTGGAGAGTATTTTGGGTGAAAACCTAACAGAACAGATCAAGAACGACTAATCTTTTGGCTGACACGTAAGAAGTCGTCGTGAGGCCTCATCATGGAAACTTAAACAGATGTGAAGTTCACACCAATGACAGAAATGCTCACTTGGTAATCCACGGGGCAAGATGGACCAAGTGGTTAGGGCGTGAATTCACTGACCGGAAGGTCCGTGATTCAAACTCGACCTCTGCCTCTAGACTTCTCCTGTCTAGGCCTGGGCAACCTGGCAGTATCCCAGCCCTCGTGCCTCTTCCATGTGGCACCGAAAAGGTGCTACAGCTGAATAATTGATTGATTGGTAATCCACTTCGACCGCTGACGGAGGATGACTCATTGACATTTTGCATACCCTTGGTACGTTCAGTATTACAGAAAGTGATTATATATATGGTTCAGCTGTAGCACCCTTTCGGTGCTTAGCTGCCATGCCACCAGAAGGAAGCACGAGGGCTGGGATGCTGCCAGGTCGCCCAAGCTTAGATAGAAGTCGAGGAGCAAAGGTCGGGTTTGAACTACGGAACTTCCGCTCTAACCACTTAGCCATCCCGCCCAAAAAGTTATTATACTTTTTATTGGATTGTTAACTAGGAACGATGCCTAGGGGACAACAGGTGACTCGGGTGGGTTCGTTCGATTCATGCTCGGCTCTTCAATGATCAGGGAAACCCAGTGAACAATGAACCAAGTGACTGACAAAGGTCGGTTTGAACTACGGAACTTCCGCTCTAACCATTTAGCCATCCTGCCCAAAAAGTTATTATACTTTTTATTGGATTGTTAACTAGGAACGATGCCTAGGGGACAACAGGTGACTCGGGTGGGTTCGTTCGATTCATGCTCGGCTCTTCAATGATCAGGGAAACCCAGTGAACAATGAACCAAGTGACTGACAATGTCCAATAGTCATTAAACCAACTAAGCTAATATTCATCGTGAGACTGCCTGAAGCTGAATCCTGGGAAGCTGAATGACACAAACCAAGAATAGGGTAAGACGGAATAAAACAGATTACAAAAAATCTGTATATTGTTCAACTTCGGAGATCTCTTCAGTGATCCTCCGTATGCCCTACTGGAGAAGATCCGGGATATGATATGCCCGTGAGAACTCCTTTGAGAACACAGTTGCAAAGCACTATAATGCATTGCGGCCCATTTCAACCGTAAATCAAGCAAACAGGCAGTGCGCCGACGAAATATGTAAGCAAATCACAAATCGATAGATGTCCAAAATCCAGATACAGACATCCAATTATCAAAATGACCTTACACTGCCTGTATATGGGTGTTGACTGCGAAGTGGCACGTTTACTGAGAGGTAACGAGAAAAGCTGAACTCGAGATACTACAACCATTTTGAAAAATATCAGCTTAGTCACAACCGGCGAAATAACAGACATTCACTAGGAACTGTACAACACGCGACAACCTTGATATAGGTGAGAGAAACAAAGAGAAAAGGATCGATAGGGATACACAATGATCACTTGACCTTGAAATCGGACAAAGTGATGCAATGCATGGCAAATTTGCTCGGCAAAACGGTAATCACGCGACAGACCGGGATGCAGGCAAGCAAGCTTATAGCAGCTGACTGTGTTAAAGAAATGGCCTAGAACAGAAGTGTGTGACAAGCTTTATAATTCCAACCCTAATGGACAGCGATATCGCCGACTTGGACACGTCGACAGTGAAATGTCGGGAACATGTCAATGTTGCCGCAAAGTGAATGAGAAACCTGATTGTTAACTGCGAAGCTGCGTGCTATGGTAGGGCCACGTGTGACCTACACCGGAAGAAGTAAACTTGGAAAGTAAACTGTATAACCGACTGTAGAAGTAGGGAGAGCTGCAAACAAGTGTTCGGTCCGTGGCGCTCAATATGGATTTGGTAAATTTCAAGATCTCCACGCGAAAACCTTACGGTCCTGAGCAAATCATCTTAAAATTACTACGGTGACATCCTATTGCAAATAGAACACCCTGAGGCTTTCTTTCACGGAGTACACACAGGCAGTATACGAACGACGACAAGATTGAATGATCATTTAGTTTTCTCAGCGCGTAACTTTGGTTATTTTGTCGACAATGAATGAAGCGAAATGCCAACAGTAAGTATCTCAACCTTTTCAGGAGGCAAACAATTAAAATACTCGGATCTTCAGCCACAATGTTTGCATCGAGAGTCACATCTTTTTGACGGGCGATGACAAACATCGGGATTCCTTTATGAAAATATACAGCGATATCTCGAATATCGTGCCAACTGAAACATGAGGCGGCCTGTGTGCAGTACATGCAGTCGTAGAATATCATAAACGAGAGATTCAGTTGAGTCTCTCGAGAAAACCACATTGATTTGCAAATAAGTGTATTTCTCGAAAACAGTCCAATTTGGGTTCGCGTAGAACATAAGGTTGACGGAAACTCGGGGACTGTGCCTACCTGATGAGCCCGAAACAGAAGGGCGAAACCGGTCGTGGGCTATCGAAGAGTTTTCAGCAACCTTGTGAGTAGTTTCCTTTGTGAAAATATCGGCATCATTTTGACCAGGCATGCATCTACTCCTGTGCCAATACAGACAAGCAGGACGCTTTGATTTGTCATCTTGGTGGTGTGCCCAACTTTGACGTCAAGCGTACATATCAACAACACTTGCAATATCGAAATGGACAGTGTCTATTGTTCAGTAGTGCTAGGTTTATGCATTAGACTCAGTTAGGCTGCCTGAAGTTCCCTTACTAGGAGAAACCGAGTAGTGGAATCGCCAGTCACCATCATAGGCTATCGACATCCATCATTTTACAGTATATACTTTCATTCTGCCCTCATCCCGTGTGGGTATTCAGTAGACTTACCCGGCAAGCAGTACTTTGATTCTGCCCTCATCCGGTGTGGGTATTCAGTAGACTTACCCGGCAAACTGAGCGAAGAAGTTGCTCACTGAGTAGGCTTTGCGAACCACGAATTAAACAATTCACCCAGAGTAACCACATAAGATCTTGAAAAAAGCTTAGTATGCGGTATTTCCAAGCGTACACACATCAACTTCTAAATAACACAGAACGACTGTTTCCTGACGCAAGACGCCACATCCGTTCAGGATCAGAGCACCAAATGACCTGTTTGTTATACGTCAAATCAAGCGGGGCCTGTGAGCAGATGGAGTGAAACTGGAGAAGTAGCGAAATAACAGCAGTGCCGCAGGGAATTAAGAGAGGACGCTCTTTCCGCCAATCCACAAATGAGGATCAACCGGACCATCCGTCAGCGGGATGGTCAGGGTTAATACTGGAAATGTGATAAATTCAAAGTAACTACCGCTTAGATTGCTCAGCAGAATATTTTCACCAACAATCAAGTTGACGATCGACTTTGTACTTATGAGGCGTTAGTACATCTTTTCGCCTTGAAACGATATCAGATCGCGAGGCCAGATGAGGTTCCACCAGCACCACGGAAAGACGCGGGTGATGTGCCTTAATTCTCCGTCTCAGTTCACTGGGATTGGAACCTGAGTAAGTCCCATTCGCTTGGGTTCCGTTAGACGACGTATCGTTGCTCGAAAAAGCCGAAGGGACCGCTCCAAGCACAGAAGCCTCCGACCTGACATGCTACGACTAGTGGTTCTAATGACAGTAACGCCTGGCCCTGGCACGTGAGATGCAGATTCGACAGCACTAAGCAAGATTTCAACCGGAAAGGGTATGGAGTGCTCACACAGTTACAAAACCTCAAGGGCTTGAGTAACGCCATACAAACTGCCGAATGACCGTAGTCACTTTGCTCAGTTCCACTGGAGTCTTCAAACCTGCATATGGACCAACTTTTCCTGTCCAAAGTGCAACGTCCATCAGGTAAATTTCTCAACTCTTAGGGTTTGTAGCGAAATATCGGGATCCTGCCGATATCAACATGGGATGAACACTTCAATTTCAATATCAAAATCACGCCTATAAGGCCAGAGAGTTGGGACTATTCGACCCTAAATAGGATGCTGAGAGTGAGATCACTCCTCCAAAAACGCGTCGTTCCTGATTTAAACTCTTGTTGGCGAGAGAGAGACCTGCCAAACAGGGGGCCATTGTCAGAGTGAGTACCGTTGGGTCGTATATCATCCGGAAATCTATGTGATTCTGCTTGTAACTGTGTGGAGCGTACTGTTACTTCCTTCCCAGACTGGTCACCAAAAGTTTGTTCATCCTTGGGTGAGATTCACAAAGGAAGCTAGATCAATCCCACTGAGAGAGTTTTACCTCAAACGATGCCCAGATGAATTTTCCCAACGCTGACCGAAAGTGCAAGCACCTTGTTCTTTTGATTTAAGAACCTGCCATTCCCCTTTCTTTGCAATCTTCACTAGGACACCTCTTTCATAGTTGTAAGAGTCACGTACTGACATTCGCTGCTTTCTACGACAATGACTCACTGACGATGTTCTTAAGCAACTGAATGTGCTGAACCAGGCCGCCCCATGTTTTAGCTGATACGATATTCGAGACATCGCGATACATTAGGGACACCATACACGAGATTCAACTGGGTTCCAGGTGAGACTCCCGTCAAAACTAAATTGGTACGCAAGTGCCATTTGGGTTCAATTAGAATATAAAGTTGTTGGAAACTCAAGGACTGCACCTTTCTGATGAGCCCCAAGAAGGGCAAAACCGGTCGTGAGCTGTCGAAGAGTTTTCAGTGCATTACGTCTATACAGTGTATGGCGATATCTCGAAAATTGTGGCCTGGTGCAACGCATTCAGTTGCTTAAGAACATCATAAACGAGAGATTAAGCTGGATCCCAGAAGAGACAGTCACCCATCAAAACCAAATGGGTATGCAAATGAGTGTATTTCTCTAGCTGACTTCTTGTTTCCTGTGTGCTCGAAAATCAATGGTTAGGATACACCACAGTAAGCGAAGTTAAAAACAGAGAGAGAGACACCAAACAAAAGCTCATACAGTTGAACTAGTTTAGACTGGGTCGTGTATCCCACCCACAAACGTACGCAGTTCATCATAACAAGTTGAGGCTTGCTCATGTTCATCACACGCTTGTTCTTACATATAACACAGCTAGACCGGAGTGCGTTATCATGTCCTGTTCGGCTGCACTCGGAAAGCCCTCACTGAACTGAAGCCTAATAAGGAACAGAGTCCGGTTGGTGGTAAGTTTAGCTTAGTTTGGGGGCTTCTGAAAATTTTCGGAAGCTCTCATTTGGCATGTAGGTGTGGTGCACCGTTATTGACCTAGCAGCCGAGTTTCGGCATACCAGGAGTTGAAGTACGAAGTTAAAGTTAGCTGAATTTTCACACGGTGCGTTTCGAAATATGGTGGGCATCATTCTACAAGGAATGACGGGTGTAGACAAAGCCAGTGGGAACAGAGTCAAAGGAAGTATTTCCCCATCAAAGTGGCAAACGTTTGTGCTTTGCTGCCGCACAATAAGAGGCAGAATGGGTACGTGTTACGTCAAACCTGTGTGAAATACGGTCCAAAGCAAGGGGGTATTGAAGCTGGAACTGGATTTATGCATTAATTTGGAATAAATTAGCATCAGTAGGGGAAACTTCTCTCAATGATCCTTTGTCCAACTAGCACTGTGAATAAAGAAAAATAACCCTTCTGAAATGGAGGAGGAAGATAGTTGACACACACATAACCCTGATAGGATAGTATTTGCTTGCTGCCCTGTGGTGACGAATCCATTGCTCACGGCGAACCCCAGCGACATTCAAGGAATGATAGCTGAGTGCATATAATAGATTTCTACCCCCCGTCTAACAAGGTCACAAGCATTCCCTGGATGAGACAAGAAAAACTGTCCAGCTGTAGCACCCTTTCGGTGCCTAACTGCCATGCCACCCGGAGGTTGCACGAGGGCTGGGATACTGCCAGGTTGCCCAAGCCTAGACAGGGGAATTCGAGAGGCAGAGGTCGGGTTCGAACCACGGACCTTCTGGTCAGTTAATTCGCGCTCTAGCCACTTGGGCCGTCTCGCCCCTGGATGAGACAGCCTGAGCACAATTGCTACATGACATGCATAATGACATAATATTGAAAAGACAGCTCTCTAGGCTTTGCGGTGTGCACACCAATGTAGTAAGTATCGGCATTTTTCCCGTCTACACAGTGACCAAGATAAAGTGATTTGACAAAGAATTTCTGTTCACCGCCTTCAAGTTTACCGGCGGTGCAAACGAATCGAGAAATCGGATTTTCACGTCTATCTGAGAATCACTGTCTGTCACAAACTCATGATGAGAAGCTCCGTTCCTACAGGGTTGTATGACGAAGAAAAAGTCCGGATGTAGTTGCTTACTACCCAGGATTGGCACGCCGTTGAACTCTATGGAGTCCAGTCAGTAGAGTTTATGTAATAATCGATCAATGGAGCACGAATTCAGCGAGTCCAAATGAAACAAACAACGATAATGTTCATACTCGAAAACGCATCGAAAAAATTCGGCATGGGACCCGAAAATGCCATAGTAACGAATCGGACAAAAGCCAAAGTGGGACTCGAAAGTACATTTTGAAACTGACTGCAATATGAGATGAGAAGTGCTCCTCTGGTAGACCTGATTTGAGAAGTGGCATAAAACTGAACAGGTATGTTAATGGGGTCTCAAGTTCCGTGTTTCGGTTACAAATGAATACATTCCATTTGGGCAGTGTCTGCTCGACAGACTAGCAACCAGAGTTGCAGCTCCTTCTATAGAGTGGATCAGGAACATGATGACAGGGAATGATGGAGTGGTGACCCTATGGAAGTGAGATAGAGAAGAAACTAGTCGGTTTCAAGGAGGCCCCGTTAACACTGAATAAAAGCAACAAGGGGGTGAACCCAATTCGCAGCCACAACTAGCCCCAGGATGGACATGAAGCAAAAAGACGTGTGACAGTGCACAAAACAGAAAAAAAAGAAATGCTCGTAGACGCAGGCTCATATTTTTCAAACAAGCGAAATGGCGCACGGGGGGATACAATAAATAAGGTCGATAACAGTGATAAAAGTGATAATGAAGTTAATCTCTCTCACACACTTCATATAGGGAATACTAATTAGAGCCCAAAATCTTACAAAGGCATCTACAGAAACAGGAATAAAGGATGAAAGCCGTTGGGATAGACAGTGAAGTTTTTCACACAATAAAATAAATCTTGGTCGGAGGAGAGAACGATGCGCAAATGTTTGGCTGCCACGATACAATAAATTACAGTTGAAGGGTGAGGGTGAAAATTGAGCAGCAGGATTGATCTGGCCTGAGACAACTCACACAATGCGGAACGGCGAGTAGTTATCGAAATACCTGTAAGGAAAGGGTAATAATAAGCGGATTACGGTTATTGGTTACTAACTTGATCGCTGTAGATGTACACTTGGTAGTGAGTGACTTTTCGTGACCATCATTAAGAAAATACATACAAACATGGCCAGTCGTCACCATATGGGGTTACGAGATTGGAAATACAAATTGAAAGTATAAATGCATTCCAAGCTGAAAGTTCACCCTGCTGCCAGATGACTGAAGTGTTGTTCACTGCGTATCAACGCTGGGACAAACACAAAAGTTACAACAACTAGATTGGGCTTAACCATCTTAAACAGTCTGAAAAACAGTTAAATTCGACAGGTCGACAGTGTTGGGATGGGCCAAGTGGTTAGAGAGCGAATTTACTGACCGAAAGGTCCGTGGTTCGACCCCGACCTCTGCCTTTCGAGTTCCCCTGTCTAGACTTGGGCAACCTGGCAGTATCCCAGCCCTCGTGCTTCCTTCGGGGAAGGATGGCAGTTGGGCACCGAAAGGGTGCTACAGCTGAACGACGATTCGATTCGTTTGGAACCACAGTGAAAGCAAACTGGCAATGTGCGACTGAATGAAAAAACTTTAGAGGTGGAAGCGCCACATTTTTTCTGAAGCTACGGCAACGCGGTTCACCGGCAGAGTCGGAAATGAGAATGAAACGCGCGACCGAAGTGGGCGAATTCAGTCGAATAGCATCGGAGAAATTGCGGCCCCAATGCTCATTAGGCGAGATTATATCGGTGGTCACGATTAGGAGGTGCAAGTTGCGCGGCAACTCCTGAATCAGCCGTCGCCGTCCAACCCCAAATAAACTCAACCTTAACATCGATCGAGAACAGCCCAGTGAACTTGAACAAACTATGGAACAGAACCACTACCTGGAACCGCGAACAGGAAGAAGGGACGCCAGCTGAAGTCTATAAATTCTGCCTGCTCGCAGGTTTGAAGCACCAAATGGGGAACGAATTATACTCCTCAGAAGTGGTGTTCTTCGATGTTGATGCCCCCACCACCAAAGGTAATAAGCAGTTCGTTCCAGGTATTGCCGATTTAGTTCCGTTGACAAAGCAACAAGAACATTTAGATCACTTTTACCGCGATATTTTTCTCAAACGAGGACTTAACGTATAAGATCTAATCAAGGTAGTTTCCATTCCGTTGAGACCACATAGTTCCGCTGAACCATACCTCAGAACACCCAAACGATGCTTCAACAACCTACAACGCAATATTACATCAACTTCCAGGTCGTGTATGAATGTACCGATTACGAATTACTGCGTACAATCCATGGTAGTGAGCCAGCGAGGGCCATAAATCTAATTAGAGCCCGCGCTGAGAATCCATCTGTCCGACATTGTGTCGGGCGTAGGAAAAGAAAGTCTCTTGCTACTCCAGTTGTACAACTTTGTAATTGATGGTTCGATCTTGCGAGCACTGGAATGGCTGGAATAGGGGGACTGTATCGTTCTACGGTGCGGCAATTTAAGAGTTTAAACAAAACACGTGTATCGGTAAAAATTAGTATTACACGGATCAAGTTGTCCTTTACGTGCATGTGCAATCTCTTGACATAAGTGCAGAGGTTAAAAAGATAGTTGAATTCAAGTGCTTGGATTTTACCACCTTCATCATCATCATCAAAGACAGCAACATCAGTGTTGCCACTGATGCTTCACTGCCGTACAACCATAAAGTTCGTTTAGTTTA